CTCCACAGACACTTGGTGGTACTGTAATGTCATCTTGGGACCTCATTGGGGTGCGCCGCGCCCGACGTGGGCGGGGTGGCCTACTTTCGACGGACGCGCGCAACGAACCTTCTCCGTATAAGAGATGTAAAAAGAGCAATCCAGAATTTCCAGCGATCTCTCTATATTGCAGGGGGCTCTACTCGGTTATGTCGACAACAAGACTGAAATAGCTCTATTCTCTTGCGATGGGAAAGTCTATGAACGAGCTGGACCTCAACTCAATGATATGTACATTCTAATGCGGAACACTGTTGGAGGACCACCATTCTGTGAATGCCCTCGCTGCCCAAAAGCACCACCTCCACCTCCCACGAGACCTGGTTGTACTTGTGGGGCAGGTCTTACTTCTCAATCATGTTCATGTCATCTAGCACATAAGTGTTCATGTGGTTCCGGGGCTATTGCTGGTACAGCAGGTCATGAATTACACAGATGTGCATGTGGTTTACTACTTGGTATGAGAAATCATAGGTCACATAGGTGTTCATGTGGTTCAACGCTTGATACAACTATCACAGGCCATGAATCTCATTTGTGTTCATGTGGTTCCATAGTTGGTGCACCATGTTTCATTAGTCATGAATCCCATAAGTGTTCATGTGGTTCCGTACTCAGTTCAGATACCACGGGTCATGAATCACACAAATGCTCATGTGGCTCATTAGTCGGTTCGGGTGCCCCTACTAGTCATGCATCACATAAGTGTTCATGTGGTTCAGTACTTACTGCAGATATCTCAGGTCATGAATTACATAAGTGTTCGTGTGGTTCATTAGTTGGTGAAAGTTGCTTCATAATTCATGAATCTCATAAATGTTCATGTGGTACAACTCTTGGTGCAGACATCTCAGGCCATGAATCCCATCAATGTTCCTGTGGTTCAATTGTTGGTGAAGCTCTCGCCATAAGTCATGAATCTCATAAGTGTTCATGTGGTTCATTACTTGGTTCAGACGTCACAGGCCATGAATCACATAAGTGTTCTTGTGGTTCAGTTATTGTAATAAGTGGCTTTGTAAATCATGATTCACATAAGTGCTCATGTGGTGCAGGAGATGCCTTTTCACCAGGTCATGAACTGCATAAGTGTTCATGTGGCACATCAGTTCAAGACCCACATTCACACCCACAACTACCAGGTGGAGGTGTGTGTAGGTGTAGGTGCACATGCTTCAAACTGGCCCGACCAATTCTTCCTCCCAGGTGAGTAAGCCGAAGAAAGTATGTAGTATGGAATCGCAAGAACTTGTTCTGATGACTGAAAACCAAATAGATCTAATCCCATGGTGGCTAGTCATCAGTTTGGGAGTTTCTTCTTCACAGACTTGAGTCATCAGAGTGGTCGCTTTCATAGTCCGCGATCCAGCCTATGAGCGCGCTCGCTCGCTCGCGCGCCGGCCGGGGCGGCGATTGCCCTTGTTTACAACTGAATCTGGGTGTATGTCGTTTGGCGCGATGGGCGGGGTCGCGTCGCCCATTTGAGGCCTTCAACTCATTCAGGTCGCATAATCTTCCGCTATCCTCTCATCTATAGATGATAGAAGCCCAATTCAACATCTATAGAGGAGAGGAGAGCAGAAGATTACGCGATCTGAATGAGTTGAAGNGGCGATGGGCGGAGTCGCGCCGCCTCAAGTGGGCGGCGCGACCCCGCCCATCGCGCCAAACGACCGGCTCCCCTGAATCTTGGTCGATACCGCCGGCCGAGTAGTCCCTCGGTGTCGCGCTCGCTCGCTCGCGCGCTCCCGGGGAGGATCGCGGACTATGAAAGCAGCCAATTCCACAAGTTTCTGGGATTCAGAGCAAAGCATAACTGGCAGGTTCGGGAAACTAATCGAACACAATTCAGGGTAATGCTTGATGAATGGATCGATATCCGTGCAGGAGATCCATGGCCGGATAAGATTCTTGTAAAAGCTCTCAATCAGACACTTGATACAATCCCGGGTGAAAATCCCGACCAATACGTGGCGTTGTGGTATCAGGCTGGAGAGCCAGTCATGGGACGTGTTTGGAACGAGAATGGCAGGGTAATTTTGTTCAACTTCTAATATAATTTGTTGTGGGATAAAAAGCATTTCAAGAGGCTTCCAGGTGGCTGCCGACTTCTGTTGGAACGACAAAGAGTACAGGGGTAATGTCGGTTCAATCCAACTGCTTGTGCACCTCTCAGAACGCGCCAGAGGTTTCGACTATCAGTGGTTGCCATACCCACAGGTGTGCTTTACATTCCATAGCTCCTAAACAATCACCGTAGCCATTGACTCTATTGCAGGCGTCTTCGTTCGATAAGAGTAAGGCATGGATACCAGTACATGTGAACAATGCGAAGGGAGATATTTCCGCTGGTGTAATCACGTTCAACGGAAAGCAAATTCTCGGCAAAGTCGACGTTAGAAATGAAAGAGCCGCAGCCGGATTCGGTGGCAAGGAGAATGTGCTCGTCGGACCGGCATGCCAAGCTAACACCATCGTATTATGCCGTAAAGCAAGGCCCGGATACAAGTTCGACTAGGCATGGGATCACCCCTCTTTCGAATAAATTATTATTTAGTTCGATTAGGACCATAAATATTTATGTTCCACTATGAATCGACAAGAACCATCGTGCAAAAACCTTACTACATATAACTTCCTATTTGTGGATGTGTGTGGGCGGACGCGTTCGTTTTGTGGAATTTCATCATTCTTTCTCTAAACCTAGGACGCTCAAATTTAGAAGAGATTTCGGCGGAGTTGTGGAAAGTCAGACAATGGGTGACTTAAAGGGATGGCAGTTGATAGGGGCTGATAAAGAGCCCTACATGGGAAAGACCCCTGAAGTAGATGCACCCTACGCAGCAAAATAGAGCCTCGGCAGTTCGGTATGCCGTGGGAGGTAGGGAGGGATCGCAGATGATGAGTGATGGTAAAAACTGATACAAGCTGCTAAGAGCCGATAAAGGCAAGAGCTAATGACCAAGTTAGCCATTCATTACAACACCTCAGAACCTCAACGCTAGACGGGTGACGTAGGATCTAACGTGATCGTAAATGGTCAAAGTAAATAATGACAAGTGATAGGGCTCAATAAGGAACCATAATCATTGACGCACATACACCCTTCAGGTGGAGGATAGTGGAGAAATTCCACCCTAGTGGTCAACGTGGGATGTGGGGTATGAGGGATTTTTTGGGACAGGAACTGATGAAGGTTGGTAAATATCTGAAAAGGGCCATATCCACTGAGCTCGTTTCTGCCTCCTTCTCAATGGTCAGACCTTGTCACTCTGATGGGGGACGAGATCGTAGATACTCGGGGGAGAGGAACTGATAACAATTGAGCAAGGCTGATGAAACGCTCCAAAAGAAACAAGACATCGATACAGTTGCGTCTTTCACATTGTCACTGGAGTGTTGGCTCTTTGGTGGGTGACGTGGAATGTGATGTTACCGTAGATGCTCAGTGACAGAGGCTGATAACAACCGAAAAATTCGATAAAACGTATAAAAAGCCACAGAATTGGTTGTTTTCTCCCTTCACTAGTGGAAAGTTAACACTCTGACGGGAGATGTCGATTCGTTGGGATGGGGGATGGCTGGTGCCACGGACCGAGGATATAAGAGCTGACCATGGGCGTTGGATAGCAACAGCCACTAGTTTTTCTTTAGCATTGGCACTGAAGCCTTGCTGCTCCAGTGTGATTGGGGTGTGGATATGACTGGATCGCAGGCATCGAATTTCAGGAAATGGTAACCACGCATCAATGAGCGGTGAAGGAAACAAATTGCGACTACAGTTCCATGCCCATCACTACGATTCAGTTGTTGGTGAAAATGTGGTTGGAAGGGGGTGAGTTAGGTGACACGATCGGGGGCAGCGCCCTTTCGAACCATTGAGCACGCCAGAGCGCAGAGGAGAACGGGAAGCCAACCTTACTTGGTTTTTAGCCAAAGAAATTGTTCCTACCCAACCTATAGAAGAGGAGGAGCTCCGGGGTGGGTGAGATGATAAGCTTAGGAAAAAAGTATGTTTCCCGGCTAAGGGACGTTCCGTGATGGACTCACGATGTGGGTACCTCTCCTCCGCGTTCTAGCCCCTCAATGATCACCCACTGTCCTTCCTGCCTTGATTTACGCCTGCCAGGCTTGGATTTTACTTTGATGAGAGGACCGTACAATCGGCAGCACTGAGGGAGCCGTGGGAAGGACAAACATTGAGTATCCCCATACATGGTGGTGCAGAGGGGATTTCAAAGTCCCGAGCTCCGCGAACGAAGATTTGGTGGACTGTCTGATACACCAAGGAATCAGGAAGGCCGAGCAGAGGAATGGTAGTCGGCTGCACGGAACTGTAATGGTGCTTGGAAACGTCTTTCACAAGAGGAATATGACTCTCTAACTAAGCCTTAGGAAGGGCGGAGCACTGGCGTGATTGGCACGATCATATCGTACAAAAAACTTGGATGGATGAAAAATTAGACATTCAGCCAATCATTAATTCATTTCTTCCCAGAAATGTGAGCGTCCTAGCACAGTACTCTGCTTCGGGAGCATCATTACGGACTCGTCGCAAAGACACCTACCCCTACCTCTCTGAGCTAAAGCGACTAGTTTGAGGACGACAGGGTGCCTCTACTCCTCCCCCAACTATATTTTCACCTAGTTCAATCATTCAGAGTGAAAAAAGAATAAGGCAAACCACTTCCAAAGATGGATTACCTAGAAATTCGGCTAAGGTAAGATCACAGGTAATCTTTCCGTAAATTATCTCTAGACTGCTTTTTCGCCGCAATTGCACTGCTCACAAAGTGGCATACGCCTATGTTTTCGAATCCGAGGCATTTTCGAAGTTGTGGCTATCGCAATTTGATCTTGGAACCTCGTTTTACGTTTTACCACGATGTCAGGTGTAGTTTTGCCACTTTTCTATCAGCTTTTCTGTCAAATTGGTTGAGTTTCTCATCTCTGCTCCTTTCACCCCTGAAGTTCCGTATGCGTATTTCCTTAATTTGGTTTCGATCGGATTTTTTGTTCTTTTTTTTGTCGCAAGCTAACTTACTGTAGTTGTTAAACAATCTATGTTTTACTTTTTGGAATTGCAGCGATGGGGAAGGAATCTCGTTCAGATCGGGATCGTGACAAAGAAAGGAGCCGGGATCGACGTGAGAGGGAACGTCGCGATAGAAAACGTTCGAGATCAAGAGATCGCGAGAGGGATCGTAGAAGAAGCAGAAGTAGATCCAGGTATAATAAATTCACAGATTGTCTGGTAAATCATTTAGCTGTCGTTTTGATTAAACAATATTTGAGAAATGTACACATTACATTTTTTTAAACCTTAGGTTTGATCACATTTAAGAAATAGGATTAAAAATTATCTAGAACTAGCATTCAAAAACTGAATTACTCCTTCTGGCTGAAGAGTGGTATGGAAATATTAATCTGACTTTGTGCCATCCTGTGAATATTTCTTATAGGCAAGTGATGATATCTCCATTCCTACCGTTTTCCTTCAGGAATAAGAACATGATTTTTGGTAGAATAAACTTTAAAGATTATCGCAATGAAGCCGAGATGTTCTACTAGAAAAACCCGTTGCAAGCTCATACTCTAGTTTTCCTCGTTTTCCGGAGGGAATTCTGTTTTGCATAGATTTTTCAATTATTACTGCATCTACATCTAAAGCTTTTTATTCAGGTCACCTCGCCGAGATAAGGATAGAAAAAAGAATGAGAAAAGCAGAGACAAAGAAAAGAAGAAGAATGATGAGATCGAAAAGAAAAAGGAGAAAGATATCGTCGAAATAGTTGTGATGAAAGATAAGGTAAAGTCTTCTGAAAATTTTTGTTTATATGGAACCTGCTAGGCTCAATTAACCTAATTTAGACAGAAGCTGAGTTAGAATTGGAGCGATTAATGGAAGAAAGACGAAGAAAAGTGGAAATTTGGCGGGCACGCCGAAACAAACAACAACAAAGCGCGGCTGAAACCGAAAAGGAAGAGAAAGGAGAGGTAGCAGCTCATACCTTTAATTTCTATGTCTATGCAACCTTACTAAAATCTCAAATAATCACTTCAGAGTTCTGGTTTGAATGGCAGTGATAAACAAGAGAAGAAAATGTGGAGCCTCGAAGATGACGAGGATGATGATTTACAAGAAGCTGTGGGATCGTCAGATGTGAAACCAGAAGCTGCAACAGAGAATGGAACGGAGCAGAAACAGTGAGTGCATTGAATGCCAATAGCTTCGATACTTGAAGCTTTTCGACCATTACTTGTTTTACGATATATTTTCCACTGTGTTACAACTTCCTAGTTCCACCAATAAAGTAACTTGAGGTGGTAGGGCATTTCAATTTCGACTTGCTATAGTATAGTGTCTGATGTATCTAATCTGTAAGAGAATAGAGCAGACGACGTGGATAATAAGCAGTCATGACCACGCCATTCTTCTTCAAGTTTGGGTAACCGTCCTGACTGACAAACTTGTTATTTGATCTACATAAAAGTGTAGTGAAAGTTCAGAATGCAAGCCTAATAAAATATGGATCGTTTAAGTTGTATCTTTCAGAGCTGCCGCCCAGGTAGAAGACGATGAGGAAGATCCCCTTGATGCATTCATGAGCGGTCTAAGGAAAGATCTGCAGAAAGACAGGCCCACGGTAAGATTGCATGTAGTCTCCGTTTCCCCTTCACTTTTTTCTCCACAACAGTCAAAGTGATACAAGTCCATTCAGGGAGGTGTCAGAGTTGTGAACATAAATACATCAAAAGAGAAAGAAAAAGGGTTGGTGTTAGAAAACGAGGATCGGTCCGATTTCGTTGTGGAGGATATTGATATGGAACAGGTACGTTTCCGAATGAAAGTATTATTCCATATGGCTTTTCGTCATTTTGGCTCGCAAGTATCCTTTGCTAAGGAGAATAGATACAAATAATAAATATTGTAACTGTTCTCATACAGGCAGCTGCAAGTCTGTGTCACAAAGGGCGCATGCTTCCAACAACAGATCACTCGAAAGTGTACTACCGTCCATTCAGGAAGGATTTCTATGTGGAGGTATCGAAACACATTCACCCCTTTCTTTTATTTTTTTCTATTTGATTACAGCCATCTAAGGCTAGATATTTCATAGTGAATTGCATTTTCATTGCGCCTCATTCAGTTTTTGCTTTATCGGTAAACTTGGGGATTTAGCTTACATATGAATGACGTAGATAAGCAAGTGATTTATCTTCGAAGGCAAGTTGACGACGTAGCAACGGAAACTTGCCTTTGAAGCGCGTTAATTTACACTTATCCTATTTGTGACACCTATCTCCATCTTAGTAACTGCGTTAGCAGTTCAGTAAGGTATTCGGAGCGGAACAAGACAACTGCTCATTGCAGAGTAACTGTATATTTTTCACCCAGTATTTTTGAGCAGTTTCGCTAATTTTCGCTAATTAATTTTACTGCTTTTATAGGCTCCCACCGGAATATCAGTTATGTTTCAATTACTCAGCATTTCGTAACGAAACTATTTTGCAGACACCAGAAATCGCCAAAATGACGAAAGAGGAGGTGAAAGCTTACAGAGAGGAGTTGGATGGAATCGAAGTGAAAGGAAACAAGTGTCCCAAACCCATCAAAACATGGGCTCAGTGTGGCGTCGAGTTCAAAATCCTTCAACAACTGAAAAAGTAAGTGTAACGTTGCCATACGTTTTGTCGACGCAAACGGCAAGTCGAGCCTACATCCTTAAATATGACTGTTGTAGGCTGGGTTACACGAAACCTACACCTATTCAAGCTCAGGCGATCCCTTGCATAATGGCTGGTCGTGACCTCATTGGTATTGCCAAAACAGGTTCAGGAAAGACGCTTGCATTTCTCTTGCCGATGTTCCGACACATTTTGGATCAGCCAGAACTGGAAGAGCTTGATGGTCCCATAGGTGATGCTGCAATTGAAATTTGTGTGCGAAATTGATTTGCATCCTATAATTTTCAGCGATTATCATGTCGCCCACTCGTGAGCTTGCCATGCAAACGTGGAAGGAAGCTAACAAATTTGCTAAGGTGGGTAGATACTTCTTCTTGGAAGTTCCTTCCAGTTGTTACGTCTCACCTTCTAGGTCCTCGATATTCGAGTTGTATGCGTATATGGTGGTGTAGGTATATCTGAACAAATTGCGGATCTGAAAAGAGGAGCTGAAGTGATTGTATGTACCCCTGGGAGAATGATCGATATGCTTGCAGCTAATAGCGGTTCGTGATAATTTCAAGCTATGCCATAATCTCTTACATATCACTACTGAAAAGATAGATAATGACGAATTTTGAAGGGAAAGTAACCAACTTGCGACGAGTCACTTATCTTGTCCTTGATGAAGCTGATCGAATGTTTGATATGGGCTTTGAACCACAGGTGGGAAGTTTGTAAACATTTCGTTGTTGAATACCGTTCGATGTGCTATATCAAGTTGAAATATTTCACCTATTGTACCATCAGGTCATGAAAATCATCAACAACATTCGCCCAGACCGACAGACCGTCTTGTTTTCAGCCACTTTCCCTCGCCAAATGGAAGCGCTCGCAAGAAAGATTCTCGAAAAACCGATCGAAATACAGGTTTGTTGAAAAGAATTTGTTCTGCTCCACTTTGTTAATGTTTTATTTATTAGGTTGGAGGAAAGAGCGTTGTATGCGCTGATGTGACGCAGAATGCCGTGATTTGTGAAGAACATCAGAAACTACTTAAACTTCTTGAATTGCTCGGAATGTACTACGAAGAAGGGAATGTATTAGTATTTGTTGATAAACAAGAAAAGGTAGAGTCAACCACCGAATATGTTTGAATATGTTGCTTTTTGAATAAGGGGTCAGGTTATTAAACGAGATTATGACTTGAGCTTAAAACGAGCTATGGAGACGAGAATAATATAATACGAAATTTATCTCTGAGAGTTTTAGGCGGATGATATTGTTGCCCAACTGATGCGGAACGGATATTCTTGCGCACCGCTTCATGGAGGAATAGACCAGTTCGATAGGGACTCAACGATTACGGACTTCAAAAACGGAACCATCAAAATATTGGTGAGAACTTTAAAAATTTTGAAGGGTGTCTCCTGTTTTCCTTCAAATTATTTACCCTTAATTGTAATGCTGTTCAGGTTGCTACCTCCGTTGCTGCTCGGGGCCTTGACGTGAAGAACCTGATTTTGGTCGTTAATTACGACTGTCCAAATCATTACGAAGATTATGTTCATAGGGTTGGTACTTTTTTATTGCAACGGTTGCTTCCAAACTATAAGCCTCGTAAGGAAGAAGAGTGAGACTGGTAGTAGTGAAATTTCTGCTTTCGTACCCAGAGCACTGTTCTAAAAAAAGAGATAGTCTCCTTTGTCATCTCAAAGCTTGCAGTTCGGTGTAGAAGCGTTTACTATTGAATTTCTTGATATCGCTGCATTTATTCACTACTTTTTAAGGTTGGCAGGACTGGGCGTGCAGGAAACAAAGGCTACGCCTACACTTTCATTTTACCTGAACGTTAGTTTTGCTCAATACGATTTTGTTTTTTGATCTTTGATTTTTTTGCTTTAAATGTTCCTGTGGAGTCGTGGCCTGCCAGGGAACGCTGGAATCGGATAGCCTTATCGAATTTAATGTAATGCTTCTTTAGATTTGCTATTACTTATTTTGTTTATTTTTAGATCAAGAACGTATGGCAGGTGAAGTTTGCCGCGCTTTTGAAACAGCGGGAGCGAAACCACCTCCTGAGCTGAAGGTCATGTTCGAGAAATTCAAAGCAGAAATGGCAGCCCAAGGCAAAACTGTTCATCTGGGTGGGAAAGGGTGAGTAATCGTCGAACCTTTTCTAGGCTTTGACGTTTTTCTGATTTTCATTTTCAGTTTTGCTGGAAGTGGTTATAAGTATGATGAAGACGAGGCAGAAGCCGAAGCGACAAAGAAGAAGATGACCCGTCTGGTTCGTTTGTCGTCCTTTTCTGTTTCCTATTGTGCTCTGCAAGAAAAAATGTGTCCTAATCTAGGTTTGTGGCATGGAACATGGTGCGGATGACGACGATGAATTGGATGAACAGCTATCGATGATGATCAAGTCGAAACGAAGGGTTGTAGAAGGACAAATGGGCCAAGGCTCGTTGAAAAAGACTTCTGACGTGGAGGATAAGGTGAGATATTTGGCATGGTTCAAACCACAACTCTACTGAAGGGAAGGTGTTCAAAGTTCATGAAGTTTTGATCTTTGAAGGTGGCTAAAGCGAAGGCAATGGCAGAGAAACTTGCAACTCTTCGTAATCTCAACGCACCTGCTGAAAAAGATGCTGCCCAGAAAGCTGCTGAGGCGATCATGAAGGTGGGCAAATCCTATACTACGTAAACTTAATGGATTTCTTTTTGATTCATTTTTATATCAGGGTGGAGATATGGCGCCTATTGAAATGACGTCAAAGATGATTGCAAAGCAGTTGGCAGACAAATTGAATGAAAAGCTCAATTATCTCGGAGGTAAGCTTAAGTCTCCTCTTTGTGACTGACTTCTAAGATGAACGTTGTTCCCTGTTCCCTGACAGATATTATGTTAATTGAACATGAAAATTTACTATCTTTTCATGAACTATTTCAATCTTCACTAGTTTTTCTGTGCTAATGTAATGTAAGCAGCATGGAAAATTTTCATTTAGTTACATTACATTTATTTCCAGGAGAGGCACTACCAGAAATGAATCAAGAAGAGGAGTGGCAGTACTTTGAAGAGGAGCTGGATATCAACGACTTTCCACAGCAAGTGCGGTATCGCGTCTGTAGTCGGGTAAGCATTTTTGGTTCCATTAACAAAAGTCGTACAGTCTTCCTTGGTATAATTAGTCGATTAAAAAGTACTCTTTTATAAATTGAAATACACTCCCTCGTTTTCCAAGTTTTTCCTACGCAGATTTCTGCCCTAGCAAAAACTCAATTTTCGTTCGTAATAAATAAACTACATTTCAGGAATCCCTTGGTCATATCTCTGAATTTGCCGATGTTGGTATCTCAGTGAAAGGTTCACATTATCCACCGGGAAAGGAACCAAAAGACGGCGAGAGGAAGTTATATTTGTTGTTAGAAGCTCGACATGAAAGAAATCTGAAATGTGCTAAAGAGGAGATCATCCGTATAATGAAAGATGCTTTCCGGCAACTGGTAAATGTTTTTCTCATGTATTTTTAACACTCAAATATTTCCAAATAATGGTGACGGTTTTAGACAGCGCAAATGCAGCGAAGCGGACCGACGGGACGTTACAAAGTGTTTTGAGTGGTGTGGTTCTTGTGTTATACACATTTTTAAGTCATATAATAAAGTTGAGATATTGATACATGCATATTGTGATACGTATGATCGTTTTCTTTAGGCTGTTTCCTCGCAGGCCGTTCTGTCAGCGCATGCTCGTGGAAGCTGGTTATCGATCATTCTCTTGTGTCATCATTATCCTTTTGAAGTACAGACGATGTTAGAAGTAGCAGCTCTTTGTGTAGGATGCGAAAAAAACGTCGCTCCTTGGAGCCATGGAGGGCATAGTTTGTAATATGTGGTCTACTACTTGGGCTCTGTGAACCCCTATTTTTGAAAGCTCTAGTACGTAGTGTTGTTTGAGACAACGGTTTAAATGGTGGGCTGGCGATAGCTTTATAATAGTAACGCCATCCGTATGAGGGCCCAGTGGGCGATCTATCCTGGGTGCAATTGAGGATGTGGTTGAGAATCTATCTTGTGCTGATGGGTTGTGTTACTGACTTTAGGGGATCATTATTATAAGACCTTCCTCACCAATTAGATCCCCTGCGTGATTTTACAGATTCGTTTCACACCTGCGCTTGACGAAACCGTTTCCTAAGGGAAAAAACATGGGAACAAGCGCATATATTATAAGGCACTTTGAATAGCTCAGTGCTTCCCATGTAAAGGGAATCGGCAATTTTTGAATGATACTATTCCGATAGCTACTTTATTCTAAGCCACATGGTGAGTCACCTCGTAACAGCTCCGTTGCGATGTTCATCGAAATGGATGTTTGCATGTTCGATTTACCTCCATTTTATAGCCTTATTGTTTCATTTGTGTTACCAACTGGCCAGTGTAGCTTGAACCAGAGAACGTCAACGCCATTTAATATCGATACGGGGCGTTATATTCTAACCTCAACATTTCATTCGCCCCACATTAGTTGAACACTAGGCAATCAATCAATATTTTGCCAATTTCCCCTCTCACAGCCATCGTGTTGGAGCAGTTTTACGAAGTTTTGAAGGAGTGGCATGTAGCAGCCCCGTGTTCGGCCGCGATCCACAAACATTTGGGGGGTCGCAGCAAAGTGGTTGTATCGATCGTCAGCACTGGTGTAATGCCGTCGGCCCACCCACGCATCTTGCAACAGCTGTGTATAGTTGAGTGTAAGCCTCAACGGATTCCAACTCAGCCTATCATTCATTTTTCTTATCATAAATTGAACTCATGTATAGCTTCCTCATCAAATCTTTCTTCTTTCATGGTCTCCAGTTTCCACGATTTTTTCTTCAGTACAGTTGAGCTTATCTAGTTTTTGTTACGTTATTTCAGTATGGTTTCTCTTGGTTGGATTGTTGCACCTCGTTTTTCTGCCGTTGTATACATATGAGAGTAAATTCAATTAAAGATATAACAGATGTATCTTTTTTTCAAAGATTTGGCTATGCGTTTGAGTAGTATGAGTCAGGATATGACGATCCGGTAAGAGTCAATGCGTCAGTCAGTGTTAGGACTCTGCTACCTGCACAAAATTAATATAGAGGGGCTTGCTGTGGATCAAAAGCAATATGCTAGCTACCGGTTGAGTTGAAGAGCTTCCACCTCGGTTTGTGGTAGCAGAAACAGTCTAACTCATACTTCTGACCGGTTTTATTCCGCTTGAGCCCGATAATATATTTGTCATTGCGAAGAGGTTGAAGAAAGTAGTTGAAGGATAGAGGCAGTTCTCTTGGTTTTTTCTTTTTTTTTTTGAGCAATTCAAGGTAGCAGCTTATTAACTCTACCACATCTTGTAAGCAATATTTTTGGAAGTTCCTACATCTACTTATTCCTTGAACTATGAATAGAAATGAGCTTTTATCGAACTATCGATCTGACATCCCATAAAGGCTGCGTTTAACTTTTTGTCCGGATATGTGAGCTTGTATCGGACGAGATCGCTAGCTCTCCTTCCTTTAGCCTTGGAGCAAGGAAACTTTGAGAGAGTGCAGTGGATATGGTTTTAAATTCGCTCGAAAAAAGTAGTTCATAGACTAATCAATACCGGTCAATGTTTTGGAGACCACTCGATACAGATCAATGTTATTTTGTGGCGCAACCAATCGATTACACCTAGTTCAACTGCATTGAGACGCAAAATATTGAAAGGTAGAGGGGAAAGAGGAGGTCCGATTAGTCTACAATGCTGATGGTCATTGCCCATTAATCGATATTGGTCAGTATCGATTCCATAAAGAATTGATCTGATATCCAAAGTTTAGTTTCAAGGGTAATCTTCGAACTTTATGGGGATAGAGAAAGTAACGTGAGCACCGTTAGAATGGTAACCATCAATATCGATCAATCGACATGAATAAGTGCTTCGGGCTATTTCTTGCTCCTTTTTTTGCCAATGGAGGGATGACAGGCATTAGGAGGGCCATCCACTTCAGAGANAGAGAAGAGCGCGGTCTGGTAATGGCAAATATACCTAAGCAATGTCGACCATACGAGCATTTGGTATTTCTCGGAAAACTCTGGGTCTGACCTTGGTTAGTTGGTCTTCCCAAAGTTTCATTTTTTACAAATAAAGAATGAAATCGATTGTGACTGAAACCTGTGCCATCCCTACTGTATTGTGAATGTCAAATAAGCAGGAGAATGAGTTATTCGCAGCTTTCACTGAGCGTTCTCGTCAGTATTATGACACATTTTCAAACTTGAAAGCAAAGAACCTCTTTTATAACTGAGACGTGGTAGTAGTTAGCTGGGAGGGCATGCACTTGAAGGGCGAAAAATGTATATCAGTAACCTCTACAAGAATAGGTGGTAGTTCACTCAAACAGTGAGTTATTAGTAAAAGACAGACTTTGCAGATGGAATCTTGGATACTAGATTTATCAATTCTCAGTAATCTTCCGCAGAAGAATTGCATTAAAGCTCTTCTTGAAGACCACAGAGCTAGGAGGAACTCGAAAAAATCGTTTTAGCATGAACCTTCCTCTTATTGAATGATTCAATGGCTGTTTAAGGGAGAACGGACCAATTTGCATCTCTCAACTTTTTTTGCTTGGAAAACATTCCATAAGAAGTATGTCTATCGGAACAAAGCTGGCAATGTTCCATTGAATAGCTCATAATCCCTTGATTTATCGCTTAAGCGAATCAAACCAGGAGGTGAGGGAAATTCGGGTTGCTCATGGGATCGGAATAAGGGAAGAGATGGTGTAGTGGCAAGTCGCGCACTATCCTTCGAGCACAGTCTGCAGTTCGAATCCCGGATCGACATCCGACTTGACCAATCGTGCCTTCCTACCTTTTCTGGTGCCAGATTCGTTTGGGAGGATAAAAGCGTCGCCCAGCTGGCCACGCGAATCATTGTATAGGCCACATATGCATTCAATAAGCCATTACGATTCTGAATGGAGGTACAAAGCTAGGGCACATCCCTTGACTAACACCAAAGGATTTTAGATTAGACTTTGTTTTTGTTTACATAAACAATCGAAGCCTCACATTTCATGCAAATATACCGTGCTTTCCTGTTATATTTGCATCTCTGACGCGATTCATTCTTTTTTCTTTGGTTTATTTCCGTAACACATCCACTTTCCAGGCATACACTTCCTATTGATAGCTTGATTTTTCCAGATGTCGGCCGTTATGAGGAGAACACCTGGACCGACGGACACTGTCAAGAGTAAAAAGGCATGTCATTGTTAGATATCTCCCCTATTATTACTTCTGAGTTACCTAGAATTATTGAATGGTGGTGCCACCTATCCAGTAATGGTAATATACTATCTACGGTTGTAAGTACGGATAGAAATGGAGATATTGTTGATTAGAAGTCCATCTGTGAGGGAGAAGCCGGAGGGTAAAAATAGGTGTACTGTACGTGAAAGGAAACAGAGGCGATCAGGTCCCAAATCAACTGCTTTGATTGTGAACACACCTAGCACAATTCATTTTGCAGACATCCAGAAATATGTGAGTGTGCCTATTTGAGTTCTTCCTGCGAATGTCCATTCGAACTTTTTTTATCGCGACAAGGATGTGCCATGCCCAATGCATTTTTGTCAAAAGCATGGCTCCCTACTTAACGGTTGGCGCGATAGTTGCTGGGAAGTTGCTCATATGTGCCTAACACTCTAGCCTAACACTAGAATTGTCATTGAGCTATCATGCACGGCTTTTATTTTGTAGAAAAGCTGTTTTTCTCAGTTTAAGCTTTATTTATTTCGAACCACTTACTATTTTCATTTGTTTCTCTACTGCTTTACTAATTCTACTAACAATAAGTAGAGAAGTGTAGCTCGAAAATTGTATCAACACGTTGATGAACTGGGTAACACCCGGGACTTAGAGGGATTAAAACTCTCATTGAACTTGTTGACAAATAAAGGAATCCAATTCAAGAGTCTCAGTTTGATAACTATGTACTACTGGTGAGTAGACTGAGTAGATGGAGCACACTTTATTCTGACGACAGAGCCATAACCGATCGCACGCGCTTTATTGTTACGGTAACAATGATTGAAATCAGAGTTAAAGGCACCGTTAGCATTAAATTTAGGGTACCCTTTTTTGACGTGAATTGATAGAACTACTCCAGAATAAAGCGATCACAACGAAAAAAGTACAAGAAACGATGAACAAAAAGAATTACAAAGGGTCAAAAAAAAAANACACTGAAAGAACGGCGGTTAGGGAGTGCTTGGGTGTGCAAGTGTTGTCTGCAATAGCAGACAACACATTGCGTCTCTGGCAATTTGCCAACCAGCTTATCGACTTTTCACCAACTTCGCTCCAATGCGAAAGTGGTGAACGGCAATTAGATTTCGTAGCCAGCCTAGCGAGGGGCGGAGGGCGACCGTGGCTCGCTCTCCGGCCCCTTATTGTGCCCTATCCAGCCGTTTTCCGACCTCATTCCTGCACAAATGGTATCAGAGGGGGCGTCGAATCCAAACCATGTGCAAATCTCCGAACCATTTTTCGTGAACAGTGCCTTTAAGTAGGTATACCAGCTAGGCTGACCATTGCCCAGCATTTCAAAGGTCACCCTTGCACCTGTTCTAAGCCAAAAAATTTTTCAGAACGATTCGTTTGTCGACAAGCTTACTGGGACACTAACGCGAAAAAAGAAGCCGGGACACGAAAATCCCGAGGTTACCGAAGAAGATGAAGCTCAAGAGGTTGTAATACAGTTCCCTGAGCTACAGTAATTATCTACAGTGAACGGTAGGAGGTCGACTTCAAGACATTTCAGATCGAAATCGAAGGACGTGAATCCATTGACGCTTGCTTGGTACCTGCATTGGCAAAGAATCTTACGCTTGATGAAGGTTTGTGGAAAATTCACTATTTAAGATTTTTTTTCCGATATCCAATGGCACATCTAATCAGACTCTCTTGAATCTTTCCCCAAAGCAGTTGATAAGCTGGATGGCCCATAGGAGGAGCGATATGAATTTGAGGAAACTTTGAAAAATACATCACTAGTTACTGATTACTATTCCTAGGTTACGGTAGCGAAAAGGTAGAGCGGCTCCAATTCGTGCTCAGGTGTACAACAAGATTGAAGAAGTAGGAAGTCAGCCAGCGAGCAGTGTTGAAGTTGAGAGTTGAAGACGATAAAAGTTTTCGAGAGCAATTAACCAGCCAGTTGGTATGTAAGAGGAGCGGAGGAGGAGGGGGAGCTTCGTACAAACGGGGTGTTTGGAGCGTCACAATGCCAAAACTGGCAAGCGGGTGAGCGTTGTATTCAAGAAACTTTGATTCGAGCAGAGGGAGGTGAATAGGGCGTACATTTTTTGCTAGCAAACGGGTTCGGGAGGGACCGTCCATCCATATCATGGTATGTCCTTCAAAATGGCCTTTCCAGCAAAATGCCATGGGTTTTCTTACGTTGAAAACGGCATTTGTATACGAGCTTTCCCAAGATTGAAAATTTGCATAATTTCCGAATGATGGAGGAAGACCCAGAAGTACCATATGCTAACCGCTTCCTAGTAAAATCAAGTAATACGTCGCTTCTACTATTTCCTTTAGCTTCGGAATGTTCAGTGGTACTTTTACCGTGCATGTCGAGTTGGGAGCATTTTCCCCCCGTTAACTTCGAGTCTTCGGCCTTGTAGGGCTGAGTGCTGGAAAAGAAGTGTGATATGGCCCAGAAGCTGGCTGTGAATAACAAACCCGGTCTCCGGAAGTTCAGAAAACACTGTTCCCAGCTCTTTGCCAGTCTAAAATTGATTTGATGAAAAATGTTCTTCGGATCCGGTAGTTTCGACACTGCAAAGGTAGATTCCTTTTTAGGAGAAATGAAACGATACCTCACTAAAGAGTCTAGTGAGGACCCCAAGTTTCGTGAGTTGATATCTCTACTGATCTATTGGATCAATGATGAACTGGCTGATTTGAGAATTGTGGTAAGTTTTGAAAGTTGTAGGGTCATATATCATGATAATATTCCCCACCTAACGGGTATCGTTTAGGTACGAAATCTACAAGAAGATCTGTATGACGGTCAGGTTCTTCAGATGCTTATGGAGAAGTTGGCTGGCATTCGGGTGAGTTTAATTGCTGCTATTTGGATGGATTCTCGTGAAAATACTCTAAAACAATACAGTTACCTTTTTGAAAAGTACGGAGGCTACAAACAAGGAAATAAGAGTGTTGTTCATCGGCAAGATAGAAAAACTATCACTGTCATGCGGGAAGAGATTATAGTAAACTTTCCAAGTAACTAGGCTGTTGGCTCAGCAGACAAAACGGGAACAAAGGTTGAGGATAAGCTGATTGAGCTAATAGAAAAAAAAACGCCGGAACTTTGGATGGGGAGCAAGAATATGAGACTTGGGACCAATTACTTTGGGATAAGCCATGAATCATTTTGTTGGGTGGATTTGAAGCAGGCGCGTTTGGTTTGTAAAGCAATTCATCATTGTCACTTGGAGTACAGCTATGTGTTTGTAACTTTCAAATGGCAATGCTAGCAGGTCCATTCCGCAATGATGGAAGGGGTGAACGTCTTCAGGATAAGATTTTCCGCGAATCACGAAAAACAATGATGCACTACTACAACTATTCCGTTCTAGCTGGTCGAACTTTGATGCTTATATTATAATTATTTTAGATTGAAGTACCAGAAGTGACCCAGTCAGAAGAAGGTCAAAAGAGGAAATTAGATTTGGTCGTGCAAACCGTGAATCGCATCGTGAGCCCCACCGAACAACCGAGATGGGATGCCGAACTGATTCATTCTAAGGCACGTTCCTAGTTCATATCTAGCTGTCGCAAATATGCGGCCTCACCAGGTGAAAATTAGGCGGGCGGTCGTAAAGCGACTTGTACGACAGCTGAGTTGGCATTGCGCATGTGGAATGGAGTGCATCCATTAAGTTCATGGAATTTAGGATATCGTTGCGATCATACAAATACTTATTGCTATGGTGCTACACTTCAGAGCTCCAATTCGTCTACCTGAGTACGTCTCAGTCAAGGTGAATGCTATACCGAAATAAGATTTGATTTCAATTTTTTCACTTTCGTAGAACTCGAAATTTTTTCTTTTTCTGATAATACTTTTCAGTTACTCTTCGTGTAATTCTCATGAATTCCTAAAAAGTATGATTGTAGATGTTGGTGGCGTCGAAGCATCAAGGACATGCCCGTTCGGAATTTATCACTGAGCAGCTCACCACTACACAGGGTGAACTTGGTCTCAAGGTAAGGTGTTGTTCCATGTAACCGTCCTCCATGGAAGAAAGTTTTTAACCTTATGACCAATCTATAAAGAGCTAACACAAGTCGAACAATAGAAACACTTATCTGAAAGCAGTCCTCTGTTGTGAATTATTGTGGACTGAAAATGTACTTAGACTTCACACCCTCGAAAGCACTGTGCATTCTTCCTCAAACATTATTGGAGAAGTCCCCCCCCCCCCCCCCCCCCCCCNCCCCCCCCCTCGGCTCCTTATTTGTTAGTGAATGAATATACCTATGGATGTGCAACAACGGGTAACTTACTCGCTTCAAGGGCAATTTATGAACCATTTGTTCGGAGGCGAGGGTTATGAGGGGGGTAGGAAAGACGACAACCAAAAATGCATGCAAGGAGCATAAAAACTGCGCGTAGAAGCGTGGTTCATGGCAACAGCTAATTATTCTTCCGTCGGTAGCGAGCCGTTCATCAAACTCACTTTTATTTTTCATCAATTGTTTTTTCCTTCAGAATAAAATATTTCCTTTTTTGGAGTTATGAAAGCATTTCTTTTCTAATGCGATTAGACTTCACAATTCAGGGTGAGAGAGACGCTTTTGACACGTTGTTTGACTACGGACCAGACAAACTGGCTCATGTGAAAACGTCGCTGTTGGCGTTCTGCAATAAACATCTCAACAAGATCAATCTCGAGGTACACAGATATGCGAATAACCTTTTTCTAGTCGCTTTGTCTTTAATTGAGAACAACCTCCAGACACCAACTTTGCTCGACCTCAAAGCGATTCTGATTATAGCATATAAGCATTTTTACAGTCAGCGAAAATGAATGCCCATTACTTGTTTTTGCTGGGCTTTTTATTGCCATTGTTGCATCTCATAGAAGTCGGAACTGTCCGAGAACTGTCTCAATAAAATCGCTATGAA